CAGCCCCACTCATCGCCCCCGCCCTGGGCCTCTGAGCCCACTTCCTTCCCCCCTCCCCATCTGCCTTCTGTAGCCCTTCCCCCGGGGCTCACCTGCCCCACCCGCTGCGGAAGCAGACAGGGGCCCCTCCTGCACCCACTATGGCCTTTCCCTGGGCTGGGCCGACCCAGGCCACTAAGGGAGCAGGGCCAGTGTGCCGGGAGCCTTTCTCAGCCCTGAAGTGGGTCCTCTCCACACACTCAGGACACTGTCACTGGTTCTGCTGGGGGCACGGTGCCCACCATCAGTCAGATCAGCAGGCCGGGCAGGCCGGGCACTCCTCGCAGAGCCCAGCACCCTGGGAATCTTCGGGAACCTTCCGGTCCTCACGTTCCACGAGGGGGTTTCCAGAGAAGCACACTTTCTGTGGGTGCCAGCCTCTCTGGGCGATGGTCAGCTCAGGACAAGGATGGCAAAGGGGTCCCCTCCCAAAGGCCAACGTGACAAGTTACTGTGGCACGTGGCACATCAGCAGGAGAGGCCTTGGCAACATCGGGGCTGCAGTGTCCACTGGGGTCGACCCACCCCAGGTGCCCTCTGGACCGACACGACGCCTCTGGGCATGATCTGGGGCTCCTGGAGGCTCCTCCTCGGACCCCTGACTTAGAAAGTGCACAGAACATGAAGGTGACCGTGAAAAAACAGGCACGTGTACGCACACGTGCACACACTACCTACACAGGCTTGTACACACATCCTGGCTGGCCAGTCCCGGAACTGACCATGGCGCCTTCGCCTGATCACTGTAGCAACGGTGACAGTGGGACCCACGAGGAAGCCCTGCTCGGACCCTGACCCGGAGCTGCACCTGCCCCACAGCCATTGCCTGCAGCCTGGGTTCACATTAACACCCTCGAAGAGGCAGAGCCAGGATGCAGGCCAACAGGTGGCCATGGAGACTAGCCGTTAAAGGTGGCCTCAGGACCGGGTTCTGAGAGATGGAGCAGTGCACCGGTGGCACTAATCACAGAGCCGCCCCTAAATAAACACGCCTCCCGTTCTCTAAGGACGCCGCCCTGCGCGCCAGGAGAGTCTCGTGCCGAACGAGAACGGTCTTCCTTGATCTTCAGGAAACCTGGTGAACTCGGCCCAATTCCCTCTATTCTGCCAACGGGGAAGCTGAGGCCCAGAGAATAGGCGCATCTCAGCTTTGCTGGCAGCTCAGACAGGACTGACGCCAGATTCCCACCCTTCCCATCACACAGCGGGGCGGCCACCCCCAGGGCCAGGCCGTATGCCAAAGGAACGCTGCCCTCGGGCAAGGCTGTCCTGTAGGGGCTGTGGGAGTGGCCAGCCGGCAGTCCGGGAGGACGGTCTGAATCCTCCCCTTCCTGGGGGCAGCGACCGTGCCCGTCTCAGCCTCAGGTCGCAGCAGGGCTGGGACGGGCCGTGGAGGGAGTGCGTGACCATCCATCCCCCACACGGGGAGGTGGACCTCACGTCTTTTCCCCAGCCTGGAGGTGGGCAGCAACAATGCCTCTCGAACTTGGTGGGTCAGGAGACTGAGGCCAGCAGTTCAGGTCAGCGAACAGCAGACGCGCAGCTTCCATGGCAGAGCCAGACTCTCCCCAGACTTGGGACGTCTGGCGTGGCTGGGAGCAGAGGAGGTGCAGGCAGACGCTGCTTCCCGCAGAAGCCTCTGCAGGCGGCTCTGGGTGCTTGCGTGTCCCCCGATCACGGAGACGTCCCCAGCAGGCACACGGGCTTGGGGCAGGAGGGGAGAGCCCTGCTTAGGGGAACGTTGGACTTGGACAGGCGGACTGTTTGTTCCTGCAGCGCCACCCAACCCATCCTGACCGGTACACACCCTTGGATCCGGCTGGAGACCCGTGTCCGCTTTTACGAGCCCTGGTGGCCCAGAAGCTCTTTTCTTTTCCCTAGCTTCACGATTTTGTTTTTCCCCCCGCTTTGCCCAGAAGTCTCCGGAGTAGCGGCTGTGCGTGCGGCTCTCCCGTGGGCTGCTTCACCTCCTGCACGTAAACCCCGGCCCCTTCCAGCTCGTTTCTCCGCGTGGACAGAGGGCGGAGGCGAGGGTGGGCCCCTCTCCCCATCAAGCTGCCCTGCCCTGTTTGGGCTCCATGGCAAAGCCCCCAAGCCGCTCCCTGAGGTACACCCCCCGGGGAAGGCCCTTTCTGGCAAGGGCACCCAGGCCCCCTCGAGAGGGGAAGGGCCCACCTGGGGGTCCCTGTGGCAGCAGCTAGGTCTGCATTCTGTCCTTTCCCTACCTCCCAGGACAAGCCCGGCTCTGTGCCAGAGGGCGGGGCTCTCCTTACTCCCTGTAACAGCTCCAACGGCCAGTGAGGTCTCCTTAAATCAAGCACAGAACTCGAATGGCCCGCGGCCCGCCCCCCAGGCCGCAGGTCCCAGGGTTGACGTTTTATCAAGAGCAGTTGGAAGCAGACAAGCAAGGCCTCCCCCAATGCACACACGCCTGTAGGTGATGGATCCTGAACATGCCAAACAGTGCTCTCTGGAGGTCCGAGCGGATTTCCCGGGGAAGGGGGTCCTTTAGACGAGGGTCCCCTTCTGGAGCCCTTGAGTGGGGTTCTGCTCCTGGAACTGGGGGCATGTGCGGGAAGGGCCTGGCTCACTGACCCTGGGGGAGGGCTGAATGGACGTGTCTGTCAACTTCCCACTGGCTTGGCCAGGAGCACACGGCTTCCCAGGGGATAGTAGTTACGGGCCAGACGCTGTCTAAGCGCCGGGGGCTGGGCTTCAGGGAGTATCCTTGGGGGTCCAGGAAAACCTGGAGGGCTCCTGACTGTGCACCATCACGGTGGGCCTGCCTCCCGGGAAGAGGCCCTGTCACCACCTGTGCCCAGGGCTCTGTCTCCACCAGCCACGCCGGCGACAGCCCTGTCCCAGGACACCGCGGCCAGCGAACAAAAGCCATGCTTATCAAAGGAGTTTTTCTTTATTTTCATAATTTAGCTGAATCGACACAAAACTGAATACTGTAAAACAAGGGAAAAAATGCTGTAACATATCAAATCTCCCAACCTCTGCCCTCGGAAGGTGTCTACACCCACTGTCAAAAGAAACAGGCGAGGGGGGTGGTGGTGGGGACGTTGGCGGCTGTGCCGGGCGACCCTCCCGGGGCCTCCCTCGCTGCCCCCGGGGTGAGCCCAGGCCGCGGAGCTTGGGGCTGGCCGGCTCGGGACAGCACGCTGCGTAGGCCGCCTCCTCTGTGATGACAAACCCCAACCTCGGCCAGTCCTTTTACCCCAGGATACACGTACCCATGAATTTGTGGTGACCGAAGGTAAATTATATACTCGTGGACATTGAAATGGGTCTTAAATAAATGGATTTTCTTTCCTGTCTTTAGTCTATGGGTGGCTGGAGCAGCTTCTATATAGTTTTTTTTTTATCCTTTTTTTTTTTTAGTAGCATAGACCTAGCATAATACTCCTGTTAATTGGACTCTTAGGTAGCATACTTAAGCTGAAACTCAGGAAAATAAAGGGACCTGGCACAGGGTGGACAGGGGAAGGCAAACCGTAACTTTCCCTTATTCGTGGGGCCTGGTGACCCCGCCTTGCAGGAGGGAAGTGGGAAGATGGGGGCTCCCCCATCCCCCGCTGTCTCCACCCTCTGACATGAAGACTGAGAAAGATAAGGGTGTCCGCTTGAGAAGACGAGGCCGGCCGCAAACTGCCTTCACGTTGCATCAACGGGAGAGGGGTAAGAAAAAGGGAAACAAAATCCATTGGAAGAAGCGTGATCAAAGGACTGGCCACTCCCACAACAGAGCCCCAGGGGGCAGGGACCACCCAACCCAAACCCAGCAAAAGGCAACGGGCCTCTCCGCTGGCACCGGCCAGCATGCCTGTGCCACCCCAGACCTGGTCCTCAGCTCGCTGCCCGCAGAGTCCTGCCCCTCGGCGGTGCCGGGCGCCCCTACGTCCGGGGATGCCGGTCCCCCGGCCCGCCCTCCCCAGAGACTTCGGGAACCCCCAGCCCCGGCCCACGTTTCACGACGGCCGGGGCTACCACATGAATTGTTAAATAGGATTTTCTACAAATATACAACATATAAAAACTGTTAAATATATAACTTTCGGCTTTGCAAAATACATTTAATGATCTCTTTCAAACAAGTGTTACTTTCGCTTTCTTTAATTTGCTTTCGGGAGCTAAATGGTGATCGGATGAGACAGCAGTCATGGGAGACCCGACATGCTCTTGGCGAATCCTGGATTATCCCACTATCAGAACGGAGCTGCAAAGAGGCGTGTTTAACTGGTTAAAACAGAAAGTGATTTTAGTACGAGGAAGTCCATCTAAGTACAGAGGAGCAGGTGTGCACAGCGAGCTGTGCTCCCGGCCAGGCGCACCCGCGGGGTCCACGTGGGGACATCGCCGGCCGTGTGTCCTCCGGCCGCATCCTCCGGCTGCTCGGGGGCCCCGCAGCGTTTGTGGGCTGTGCCTCTCCAGCGCGTCTCTGCCCCCGTGCCCCCCAGTCGAACCCAGGGACTCTGATGGTAAGTACGAGTCCGCGTTAAAATAGATTTTGCTCTTTGGTCTATTGAATATACTGAAAGGATAAGAAAATAAAAGCGATTCAGACAGTCTGGGGCACAAGGAGAGGCCACTTCTGCGCCCGAGACTCAGTCCTCCCCGGGCCCGGCGCTGTCCTCCTCTCTCGGGCTGGCTGGGCTGCAGCTGCCTCCGCCTCCTGGTCTGTGTCCGGGAGGGTGGCCAGGCCAGGTTCCAGGGACGCCCGGTGGCGCAGCCCTGCTGTATGTCCCAGGACTGACTCCTCGGGGAGGCCGGACAGAGTCAGCTCAGGCGGCCGAGGAAGCAGGCTGTCCTTGACAGGCTAGAGAAGCGGAGGGTGGGCGGGTGGCAGAGGGTGGGTGGCATCCACGGCCGACTGAGGATTGTGGCCTCTCCAGGGAGCCAGAGTCACTCCTGGGGCCCCTGTGGGGCTGCGTTTGTCAGGAGACCTGAGGGGCAGAGAAGAGAGCCGTCAGCCTCCGCAGACACCAAGGGTTCCCGTCGGGCATGGCGGGAACCCAGAGATCGTCCACGAGGCTGGCCTCGCCCGGACAGCACACTTGAAAGATGCCAGCAGCCTTCCTCGAGGACAAAAACCAGATCTCGGGCCCCAGTGCTGGAGGAGAACCCTACGCCTGTCACAGAGGGCAGCCCGGGGGCGCCCCCTTCCTCTGGGCTCTGGGTGGGACCCCGCCCTTGGCCATGATGGGGGCATGCACTGGAGCTCCGTCAGCGGCCAGTGTGAGCTGCGTGTCCTCCGCCCCGTGCTGGCCAGGGCCTCGGGTCTGAGTTGCATCCAACTGCTTCCCTAACCGTGTCTTGCACTGTGCCCTGTACACAGCAGGCACTGCATAACTGCACAGGGCAGAGTGATGGAGACACGCGTGTCTCACCCCCACAGAGCCCCTGGGAGGCTGCAGAGCTGGGGTGTTCATGCTGGTTGATGAGGCCCCAAGCACCCACACCCGGCACCCCAGAGTCCCAGGAGATGCGACACAACAGGCCAGCTCACAGCCGTGAAGTGATGTGAGGGTTCCAGCCTCTGCTCTGGGGCAGCGGAGATATCACCTATAGAGTGACGGAGGCAGGAAAGCAGGGAGTGTGGTTTCCACAGAGCATCACAGCCTCAGGTGGTGGGACCTGTGTCCAGCAGCCTCCCGTCCCATGTCCCCGCTGGACCACTGGCTCCCTCATCCCCTAGGGTGGCCCCAATTTGAGGCAGGGACCCCGAGGCCTGGGGTCCCACAGACAGTATCCTGGTGGCCACTGCCTTTTAGGACCCTGGACCTGGGTCAGGCGCATGGGGCTGACCTCCCTGTACCGACTCCCAGCAGGCCCAGCTCTGCAGGGAGTGGACGGTGTTCTAGGGGTCCCACACACGCCATGGGAATGGGACGCAGCGGGTGTGATGGCCCGGGTGGGGCCTCTCCAGATGTGCTGGGGAGACCTCCCCCAGAAAGCCCCTCCCCTCTCCCTGCAGCTGCTTGTCCGCCTCCGGGCTGGTCCCGCGTCTACCCCATCCGGCCCGAGCCCCGGCCCTTTGCCACCTGCCTGCGGCCCCGGTCACACTCCCACCAGGCCCCGCCCACATCACAGGCCCCTGTCCCTCTCACGCGGACCACACCACGGCCTCCTGGCTCCTCCTGAGTCCTCAGCCGCTGGGCTGTGTGCAGGCTGTCCGGCTCACACGGGCCGCTCCCCAGGCCCCACCCTGAGGGCCTCACGCTGCCCGTCCGTCCTGTCCTGCACTGCGATTAGCCGCTGGGGGCCGTGAGCCGGGTAAGCGCTGCTCACGTCTTCACTGTCTTCCCTCAGTGGCCGGCTCGGGGGGAATGTGGACTGACTGCCTCCGGCCTGCCGTCCTCCAGGACAGACAAGGCCCCTCCCCAGGCGGCTGGGCTGCACATCCCACCCCGGTTCTGACAGCGCCTCGACACTGCACTCAGAGCCCCTGCAGGGACCCTGCTCTCCACCTGCTCTCCCAGACAGCAGCCAGGAGCCAGGAGGAAGGGCACCTGCCAGACAGGACTCAGCTTAGCCCCCCTCCTCCAAGCCCGTGGCCCTGGAACCCCGAGGCCGGCACAGGGTTCAAAGGAGCAGCTTTGAGAACCTCAGGTTTCCCTGAGGCCCCCGCCGGACCGTGCTGTCTCCTCCCCAGCTCTGTGTGGAGCCCGCACACGCGGGCGCCCCGAACGCATCAGTGGTGAGGGGGTGTTAACTGGATTTAGGTGTTTCAGGCCCAAGGACACCTAGCAGGTTGATGGCAGAGCTGGACCAGAGCTGAGGGTGTCCAGGGAGGGTCAGAGCTCTCTGCCCCCAGCCCCAAGGGACTCAAGGCTGCCTGAGGCTCCAGGTTGGCAGGCGCCCACCCTCTCGGCAGGACTAGGGCCCCCACGGGGCTGTGGAAGCAGGGCCGCTGGGGGACCCCAAGGCAGCGAGCACACGTCCGGAAGTGGCAGGGGCCCGAGAGAACCTCCACGTGCAGTTGTGGGTGCACGTGGGCTCAGCCCTCGCTCTGTCTCCGCTGCCTGAGCCCAGCCCAGAAGCGGGAGGGCACAGGGAGCAGAGCCAGGGCACGAGGGGGGGGTTACCGTTCCGACTGCCGTAGGGTCCTAGCTGCAGAGCTCTCTCCACATCTGGCCAGCTGCTGATCTCGGCCCAGGAGCCCTGACCCTGACCCCAGTGGACGCCTCCAGCCCCAGCCTTCCCAAGTATGGCAAAGGCCTCCTTGCATGACATGCTTGACCCAGGAGTCCAGGAGTGGTGGTGACCCTCGCCTCACTCGGACCTTGCAGGCCCGCCCGTCCAGGTCCATCGCCCTGCTGACCATAGCACGTGGCAGCCATCCCCTCCCCGATCTGTCTAGCCACGTCCACGACGGAGACCGTCCAGCACAGTCACTCACCGGCACCTGAGGGGTTAACCAAGAAAGGATGCACTGATTCTACTTTTTCTACCTACAAAATTGTATAAATTCTTATTTGTAGAGAAACGGGGAAACACATGAGTATAAAAAGAAAATAAAAATCCATCCACGTTTCCATATCAGAAGATATTTGGATAAATTTAGTGTATTTCCTTCACACCCTTTAGAACATATCCAAGTGTACGATGAGGGCTGGGTTCCGCGTGAACGTTTGCACTGTTTGTGAGAGCAGGTCGGCAGCCTGGTCTGTGCGATCGGCAATTCCTGGGCTGCACACGTGCTCACGGGGCCCCCACTGGATGGACTCCCAGGGACCCGGGCTGTCTCAGTGCCCCCCGCTCCCTGCCTGGGGGGCTGCTTCTCGTCGTCTGCGAGCTGAGATGACAGAGGCTTCACGTCCGCCTTAATTCGACAGAAGAGAAGCAGGATTTGGTTGAGGGCTCATCTTCACTTCTCCTGACGACCAGAGGAGTAGAATAATCTTGCCAACGTGGTCCCCGGCCACTCGCACCGGCCCGTCTTGTCAGTTCATCTGCTCAGGTCTTGTATTTCTTACTGATCCGAACAAGATTGCATGTATAATCTCAGCTGCGCCCATGTGCACAGGCCAGGGAGAGTCCTGGGCACGTTTACTGTAGGCCTGCCTCCCAGCTTGGTCCACCCTTAGCTTTCATTCATGGTGCATCACACACACGGAGGTTTTCGTTTGGGGGGAGTAAGCACGGCTGATGTTTCGTGAGGAAGCCCTCGCGGCTTGAAGCAATGCAGTCACTACATACGTTCCAGTGATTTCTTACAGTCACAGGTGTTTGCCCCCGTAGGTCCCCCATCCTGGGGGGGGGGGGTGTCTCCACTTTCCTGCACGCACCCTGGCCTCTGGCACTTCCTGCCCCAGGTGGGTGGGTGGGGAGGGCTGGATACAGGCCCCTGTCTGCTCTGGCCAGTTCCCCCAGTCAGGCCAGCCTAGAGACAGAACCCCTGAGCCCAGCGGGTCTGGAGGGACACAGAGGCCCGTCCAGCTAACTTCCGAGCCCTGGATGTCTGCTGCCTTCTCCTACCAGGCCCAGGCTAAGTGGGGAGGGAGGCAGGCCCAGAGCTGCCCGGAGAGGGTGGGCTGTCACCGGACCCCCCCGGCCAGAGCTCAGACACTCTCTGAGGCCTCTGTTGTCAGACCCCCGGCACCTGCCTGGCCTTCAGGAACAGACAGGAGGCAGCCTGATGTCCGCAGCGGCTGTGCTCGGATGGGACCCAAGTCCCGACCCAGCCAACAGCCGAGTGCTGGCTGCCAGCTCGTCCCCAGGCCTCGGGACCAGAGAAGAGGCCTGGAAGTCGGGTTTGCAGCCCAGAAAAGTCGTCAGAATGGCCAGGACGAGCTCCAGCAGAGCCACACAGGCTTTGCAGAAGCCAGCAGAGCCCTTCTGGCCTCAGAGAAGCGTTTCCAGCTGGGGAAGCACACGGCCGAGGCCCACGTCGGGCCTCACAGGGGTCCCCGCTCAGGGCCCCGTGCTGGCCCTCACAGCTCACTGGAAAACCAGCGCTGGGCTGGTCCCTGCAGGCGGCAGGACGTTCCCGTGCTGGGAAGCGGCCCACTGGTCTCCAGCGCCCTTCCCCAGGGAGCGTCTTCTCAAGACAATCGGCCAGACCCCGGGGACACCCAGGAAGCAGCCCCTGCTCTCCTGCAGGCTGCCCCCCACGCCGCCTGGGATCCTGAGCCCCAGGGATGACCCATGTGAAGTGAGTCATGTCTCATCCACGTGGCCCTTACCTCCCACCTGCGCAGGGCCAGTGACAAGGACCCCGGGCCTGGCGGGACCATGACAGCCACCTGGCCAGATGCTTGGGCTGTGTCATGAGGGCCCTGCTGGATCCCTGTCTCTGGAGAGGGCATCCAACCTGGGGTCCCCTCTCCCATCTGTGCTTCTGAGGGCCCAGGACGCTGCCCCAGGTCAGCAGGTGGCATCCTTGTGGCCACGTCCTCCCCCTCCCTGGTGAAGGCTCCCGTGTAGGGGTTTCCCTGCTCCACTGGCCCCCTGGACAGTCCCACTAAGCAGCCCTGTGACTCCAACCCCGAGCTGAGCTTGGTCAAGAAACTTGACGTGGGCCCCGGCTCCTTGGAGGGCCCTGAGCTTTGCCAGAGCTGGCCTCCCGGAGGGCACCTGCTCGTCCTGGTTATACATTTCTCATGGGTCAGACCTGTCACTGCACTGGGGGTCTCCCCAAACCCCCGTGGGTTCCTTCAGGGCCGGGGTCACCTCCCTCCCCTCTGAACTGGGCAGTGACACCCTCTCTGAGCCCCTGTCCTGCTGACCATGGCTTCGTATGCAACATCGCCCAGACACCCTTTGACCGCATGGCTTTAGGACCTTCTACCCCAGTGGGAACAGAGGCCCAGGGAGGCAAAGCGGCCGGTCCCAGGTGACTGACAAGGCTCCAACACCCCACTTTTGCTGCCAGGGAGCTGTTCTCAACTCTGCTCTCCCCACCGAGGGGCTTTCTGGGAGCTGCACCCAGCTTCCTGAATCCCGGTGGCCAGTGCCGCTGCTCTCCTGGTGTGCGGAGATCCAGAGTGTCCTGGGGTTGCAGCCTCTGTGTGACACCCTGGTGTCCCTGGGCCTGGAAAGCAGCCGGCACTCAGCCGGCTCCAGCTCTGCGCATGGCCGTCCAACACCCCAAGGTCATGGGCTGCATCCTCGGGGTCTGCGGCTATTTCTCTGGGACTCCGCCCCCGAGGTGGACAGAGCTGGTCTCAGGGTCACCTAACCTTGCACGCTGGACAAACTGACACAGGAGCCCGCCCAGCACTGCCCGCGTCCCCTGCGGTCACCGGGCTCAGTGGACAGAGCCTCTCAGTCTGTGGCGAGAGCCCAGGGAGTGTTTGGTCTGAGGACGGAGCTGTGGACACGGCCAGGGTTCCCGTCCAGGGCAGTCCTTCCCGCCGGCCAAGGAGGTGACGAGGAGGTTTTTCTTGGTATTTGGACGCTATAAAAGCATCGTTTATAAAATAAAAGGAAACCTTCCAGCCCTGTGAGTCCCCTGAGCGATATTCCCTCTTCCTCTAAAAGTTTCCATTTGCCTTTGGGGTCAGGCTGAGTCTCCTGTTTAAAGAGCACAATGTTCTGAGCTGAAAGCCCCGAACAAAAGGTTCTAACAGACAGCGGAGACGTAGAAACTGCGGGGCAGTGAGATGACCATGGCCTGCGCGAGAGAGCTTGACCATGAAGGCTGCTACCACGGAGAGAGTAAAAACAACCCGGGGAGAAGCTTCTGGAAAGGCTGTACATCATCCCATCCATGCCCAGCCACGTGATTGAGGTTCTGGGACCATTTCCTGACCTTATCCGGCCAGTTCGCACCCGAGGAGTGCGGTTAACTGACTCCTGAGCCTGGGATGTCCCAGACGCCCGAGGAGGGAGGGCACACGATCGTCTGCAGAGGTGCCCTGGCTGCTCAGACACGTCCTCCTCTGCCCTGCTGTGAGGGAGGAGATGACCGGCCACCTGGAGACCCAAGGCCCTGAGAAAACTCGCACTGGCGTCTAGCGCACAGGTGGGGAGACGGGACAGAGAGATGCGGCACCTCGAACGGCGGGGCCGGGGACAAAGTGGGGGCGGGCAGCGCGAGGGCCAAGGCCTGGTCTGAGGATGCCCAGATTGAGAGAGCAGGGCCCCAGTCCCTCCCCCGCCCCTCGAGCACCAGCCCAGCTGCCCCAGACGCACCTGTGTCTTGTCACTGCGGCTGCTTCTAAGGACCTCTGCCCCCCCACCCAATCTCCATCACTCCTCTGCCCCCATCTAGGGGCTGCTAAACGCCAAGAAGAATGACAACTACGCCACCTCCTGATATTTAGGGGTCCTTAGTAGGCAAGGAGTGGAGGGTCTCGTCTCCTGGAGCCCACAGCACAGCAAGGTCACGTGAACTGCCCCCAAACAGGGAGCACAGCCCTGATGATATGGAACATGCCCGGCCCATGACGCTCTGGGGAATCTGCAGGGCTGAGGGCTGGGGACAGTGCCTGGCGGGACCTTGCTGGGCCAGTTCTGAAGGGCCAGGCCACGACGGTGCCAGGTAGGAGAGAAGCTGGGAGGGGATGGAGCGGGGCAGGTGGACAGGGGAAGCCTGGGTGGGGTGCCGAGGGCCCTCTCAGCCGGAGGGGCAGTTCCGTCCCTGCCCTGTGGCCTCAGGACACGTCCCCTTGTGCTTAGGAAGCAGCGTGAAGTGGCGAGCCCTGCCCTGCACCAGGCAGAGCAGACAGGCGGCTCTGTGCATCACTACCTTTGCGGCCCCGCCAGGGCCCGAGTCTGGAAGCCCCAGGGCGGCACAGCCAACGGGGACACGCAGGGTCTGACCCCGGGAGCCCCATCCTTCCATCCTCACACCGCAGCCCTTGGTGAGGGCTCGGGGGACCACATCTGCCCTGCAGCCTCAGCACCGGCCGGAGTGGGTCTCTCCTCCTGGGGTCCCTGGCTAACAAAGCCTCCACCTGGCTTCGATCACCCGAAGCCACTCATCTCCCAGGGCCTGAGGAGACAGACCGCAGCCCTCGCTGGGCTGATGGAGAGCCAGCAAAGGCTGGGAGGGCCGTCTGGAGCGAAGTGTAAAGGGTCGGCATGTCTGGGTGCTCACTGACCTCCCCCTCGCAAAGCGGGACCTGCGGGTCGGAGGACAGGAGCGGATTCAGTGCCCGCTCACCCGGGGCGAGGCTGCTGCCACAGATCATAGGGTGACTGAGCCTCAGGGGATAAAGGGACAAGGGCACAGCAAGTGCCAGACAGGGGCTCAGCGCTGACATGGGGGTCCCAGCAGAACGAGAGGGAGGAGACCTGAGAGCAAGAGCTTAGGATAAACCTGGGGACGGCCAGAACCACCACAAGCCCCGCACCCCGCACCTGTTGTAAGCTGCTTCTTAGACTTTCTGGGTCTGAGCAGGGAGCCCGAAGATGAGATACCAGCTCTGGGTGCAGCCGGGCTGATCCAGGCATCTCACCTCTCCTCACCATGAAAGCATTCGCCACTCAGTCACCACTAGGATGCAGCACCTGGACGTGAGGGACCGGGGGCCAGGCAGCGGACTGCTCGAACCAGGGCATCAAGTGATGTGGGACGGCACAGACAGTGCAGCCCTTCTGTGCCATGAGGCAGAGAGCTGCGGGAGGATGGGCGGGAGCTGCCGGGGCCCTCTGGGGGAAGGTTTGTGTGTTCTATTTAGCTTTTATAGACAAGCAGACTGGAGTGTCCTTACTTTAGGCAAGCTGATGGCTGTAATAATACAGATTTATTGTGTAGCTAAATGGTCTAGCTTCTCTTTCTAAAAAAAAATACTGTTTCTTTATTCTGATGTGGGAAAATTATGTCTATCTTTACAGCCATTTATTTATTTTCTTTGGCTCATGACTCGTTCTTGGAGTCTGTCTTCTGAGAGAAGTTTCTAGAAAGTCTGCACCAGGCTGCGTCCCAGCGTGGTGGGGTTCTGAGGGGGGCTGGGTCCTGGTGGACCACAGTTTCTATTTCTGTTGAGCTGCCTCATTATGGACAAGCTGTGTTGTTTCCTCCTCCGGCAGGGAAGAAAGCATTCTGGAGCCTCTGGTTTGGGATCAGGAACGCTAGGATCCAGGTCCAATCCTGATACAAGGGGTGGCTCCGGTTATAAGGCCCCTGTAAAAGGAGGAGGGGTGACTGAGAATTCATGCCACCAAAGCAAAATCACCCCTGAGCCTCGAATTCCGAACAGGGGCAGATCAGGGGCCAAGCTGGGCTGTCCCTGTGATGAAATATTCACCCTTGGCTCTGAAGGGTGATCACCAAGTAGCCATTAAGGCAATGATCCAGACCCTGTTTACTGGATGGTCCTGTGGTGAGTGACCGCCCAGCACACCCTTCATCAGGGGCTTTACCATCTCCAAGGACCTCGTTCCCCGCTTTTCTGTGATGAGAAGTCATATTGAAAAAAAGAGTTACAAAGGTCTCAGAGATGCCGGGGGTTGATTAAATGCCCAGTGATACAAGGGTCCCAACAAAACTGACAACAGCCTCCATGGGCATTTGAAAAAGAACGTCAATGCAAGTGTGTGCACGTGTGTGGAGATGTGTGCATGTGAGTGTATGTGCATTTATGTCGATGTGTGTGCAGGTGTGTGGAATTGTGTGTATGTGTACATGTGTGTGCACGTGTGTACCTGCTGGACAACTCCCTGCCCGGCCCTGGAGGCCTATGGGAGGTCGTTCTGACTCAGGTCTCAGAGGGGGCGGAGGGCTGTGGTCCAGGGCCCTGGCGGCAGCTGCCTCCCTGGGGCCACCCCAGTGTGCGTTTCCTGCCCCACCATTGCCCCCTCCCTACAGCCTGGGGTCTGCCACTGGTGAGATTTGGGGTCTTAGGAAGGACCCCATTGAGACAGGTCTGGGTTTGAATCTCAGCTGGGCTCTTCCTGTCCTGTGGCCTCAGGAAAGGGGCTTGGCTGCCACAGCCTCAGTTTCCACATCCACTAAATGGGAGCCTGAAACGGGAGCACCCAGGGGCACAGTTTCCCCCTTTTCACAGGAGTAGAGGCTGTGAGCAGAGCACGGCTGCCGTCCGACAGCCTCACCCAGGACCACTGCATCTTCTTCTGCATGGCGCCCGCATGCCTGCAGAACTGGGGCCTGACGGTGCTTTGTCTAGGCTCCTCTGGGTTTATACGGCCTCTGAGCAAATAAAGGGATGCTGGTCTCCTCGTCCTAAATAAAGTGATGATGCTGGTAATAGGATTTCACCGAGAATATGGAGGTTTACTGAGGACATCCATCAGGTACTGCAAAGCCCCGCTGCAGCCCAGGCCTCCTTCTCTCAGGAAAATACCCCTACACAGCCCAGGGCCCCCCTTGAGCAGCCGTGGGTTTGTCCCCTGGCCGAGCAGCATGCCCACACCGCACAGGGCAGCTAGCAAGATTATGGAAATAAACCACACATCATGTGAGGATGGGCAAGCAAGATGAGATAAAGGATGCAGAGGCAGACGACTCTCCAGACCTGGAAGGACTCTGCATTCACGGCATCTCCTAAGTACCTGTAAGTTCTTACTCCACTTTTTACAAATGAAAGCAGAACACAGAGGTGGTGCCAATGCAAGAATGTAAGGGGGGACCCCACCAGGGGAGCCACGCTAATGAAATGCAACACAGCCACGAGGTGACACCGGGGACGGAGGCCACAGGCCACCTTTAGAACCCACCCACCTCCCAGGGTCAGGGCGCGGCCTGGCGAGGAGTGAGGTGACCTCTAGTGACAGCCGAAAAGAAACCGGCCTCAATCCTATAGCACCAGGGACCTGAATTCTGCCATCAACCGAGCGAACCTTGGCGGGGCTCTTTCCCGGAGCCTCAGGTGAGATGCAGCCCGGCCCACACCTGGGTTTCTGCCCTGTGGGACCTGGGCCGAGAGCCCGGCCACGCGGTGCTGGATGTCTGACTGCTGAGCTGTGAGATGGCAAAGGCTCTCCGTCACCAAATGCGCAACAGCACAAAAAATTCATCCACCCCGAGCCAGGCTCCCGGGCCCCAGCCCCACGTAGGGGCCTCCAGCTCCATCTACCCCGAAGGCGGGTGGGTGCCTGAGTCCTGGGTGAGGGAAGTGGCTGAGAGCCCCACTCGGCCCGCGGGAGGCCGGCATCCCTGCAGCATCCTGTCCAGGTGCTGCCCGGCTCCCGCGGGGAGGTGCCTCCACTGGACGGGGCCCCCAGGCTCAGACCAGCCCGTGCCCCTCACGGGTCACACTTGGTCCAGTCCAGCTCCACTCATGACCTTGCTGCTGCCAGGGTCACGTCTCCCCGGCGGGCCAGCCTCAGCCCAGGCCCCCTCCAGCTCTGCAGGGGGCTGCCCTCGACCTCCCCACGGGCTCAACTGCCCTGGGAACGGCCGGCTCGCCAGGCGGCTTTTCTAAAGGGAGTGTGGGTGGTGCGGGCCGGCCTCGGATCCCTGTCTGCTTTGTCTCCTGGCAGAGTCAGCCTCTGACGTCCCATCCACCCGCTCCGCCAACCCCAGCAGCGAGAGCCCGGCCAGCATTGCAGGATGATGGCCTCGGCCACCGCAGCTCGCGGCCGACCCACCGTCCCAAGTTCACAGGCGATGCCTGGCGATGACGGGGTGGGGGTGGGGTGGGTGGAGGTGTGTCCTCAGAGGTGTCATCATACACGCTCTCCCCGACACCTGGCCGTCCACAGCGGCGAGGGAGGCCCCGTGTGCCCGGGAAGCTCAGGGTCAAACCCCTTCCCTGCGCTGCCTCCTGTGTCCACTTTCAGGGGCTGGGCAGGTCACCTGCTGGGCCCAGGCAGGCTCTTCGCGGTGCCACACGTCGGCAGAGGGGGCGGTGGCCCCGCCAGGCCCCTGTCAGTCAGAGGAGTCCCAAGACCGGGCCGAGGACAAACCCTTTCTTGTTCAAATATCCATCCACATCCATCTGCTAATAGCGGCTTCACGGAGGGATAGCTCACAGCCCAGATCACGTGCCCTGCTACAGGGTCAAGTCAGTGGTTTTGCTCTATTCAGAGCTGTGCAACCATCACCACAGTCAACTTAGAACATTTCTATCCCCCCAAACTACGCTCGTCAGCAGTGACGCCCCCATCCCACCCCGGGAATTCCCCCAGGAGAGGGATCCTGAGTCACGCGGTAGCTCCATGTCTCACTTTTTGAGCAAATGCCAGACTGTTTTCCAAAGGGTCTGAAACATGCATTTCGGATTCTCTTGATGACATACTGCCCAGCACGTCCCAGAACAACTGGCAAATTCACATGCTTATAACCAGCATCCTTCACGAGGCCTCAACATGAAGGTAAAGAAATGAACACCAGCCACGGCGAGTCCCGAGGGGCAGCGCCCATTCGTGTTTCAGCTGCTGACCCCCGACGGAGAATCTCTCGCCACACCTTGTCCCCACTTCATGTTTCAGGAACTTTCCACCCCTGGGCTGTGTGCCTTTTCATCTGCCTGCTGCCCCCAGCCCCGGGGTTAGAAACCAGCTCCTGCCGGGCGGGTCCCCCGACGCCCACCTTGCCATCTGCCTCTGTTCTCGGAAGGTGAGCTGGACTTTCAGAAGTTTGGGATATCCAGGCGAGGCAGGGCTGCCCCTTGAAGGCGGGCCTAGCGTGGGTCTCTCGGTCACTGGGTGGCCTGCAGAAGGCCTCAGTGTTCTCACCTGTAAAATGGGGTGGTAACAGAGCACGGCCCACGGTGGCCGTCAGCCTGAGCAGGTCGACCTGTGCACGTGCTCAGAACAGCATAGACGAGTGTCTGCGATCGTCACCGATTCTTACTATTTTCAGGCTCATGGACCGTTTCAGCATCCTTCCTCCCCCTGAACTCAGATGTCCACCTGGACTTATCCTTAACCATCTCATGGTTTCGTCTGTAATCCCTAGGGAATTTAATTTGGAATGTGGCGTGAGGTAAGGACGCAAGTTGAATTTCTCCCAAGTGTGAAGCCGGTTTTCCCGGCATCTGCTGTTGGGGGCTGCCCCTCCCACACTGTACCCCCAGTCCGTGCTCACCAACACCCAGGTTCATCTCAGGGCCACGTGGTCTGGTTCATGGGTCAGAAAGAGCAGCAGAAGAGCCAACATCTTCTCCGGTTTTAATTGTATCCTGGGCACTTTGCCAGACAGGGTCCGCTGTTAACTCAGGAGGCGGGTGAGGGGCAGAACCAAGCCGTAGCTGCATCGCCCAGGGCTGAGCTGCTCACAAAGCTCCCTTACCCCCTTGTCCGTCCCCAGCAGGAGGTGGACACTGGGGCATGTCCCAAAGCCTTCCCACACACCGTGGATGAGTCCCACCCAATATAAAATGAGAAATCATTTTGTAATGTTCCAGAAAAAACTCACTGGAGATTTGATTGAACCTGTATTAGATCTAAGCAACAAATTTGAAGGAAGAGACAAACCTCATAACATTCAGGCAATCCCTCACCTCATCCAAGTATGTGACGTCTTTCTATTCATTTATTCAAGTCTTTTTAAGTCTCCCATGGGGAGGTTTTGCCATTATCTTCATAGGTGCCTTTTCTTACCAAAGTTATTCCGAGTTATTTTATGTTTTCTCCTGCTATTAACAGAGCTCCCCCCTCTCTCTTTCCTACTTTTATTTCACTTATTTATTGTAATTAAATCATTACACATACTTGCTTGGAGCTGACAACACACAGGCTTTTTGTCCAGTCTCTCTTTCATGTACCAGCGGGCACGTTTCTTCCTTAAAGCTGCCTACAAATTTCACCTCCCGTTTTCACCTCCTAAATGACACCTGTGTTCAAGCTACTGCTAACTCCGTGCCCTGGCCCTCAGGGTTGAAAGCCTTTATTAGTCTAGTCTGGGGTTGGCAAACTTGTGCTACCAAGGGCCGGGTAGTGTGTATTTTCAGCTTTGTGAGCCATAAAAGTCTTTCTGCAAAGACTCAACTCTGCCATTGCAGTGTGAATGCATGCCTAGACAGTGTGTGAGTGAATAAGCAAGGCTGTGTGCAAATAAAACTTTATTTAAAAAATAGGTAGGGGGCCAGATTTGGCGAGCAGGCGGTAGTTGTCCGACCTCTGATCTAGACCAGAGCTTGTTTGTGTCTATGAAAGCTTACAGTTGAACACAAGTAGAGAAACTTCTATGTTCATAACTGGTCCAATTTAATAAATTCT